GCTGAAGTGTAAAGGAAAGAATTACTACATATTTGCAGTTTAAAATATATTCTTTTCTGATATTAAATTAGTGATATTAAACTTGGGATAAGTATTTTTCCTATTGACTTCATGTGTGATGACTGCACTCTTCTAGGGACTTTTACCATGTACGGGCCAGGAGTCGTTAATGACTTGAAAGTGGTTGGGAAATACTTACTTTAAGAAAAAAAAAAAACATAATCAAGCAGCCTGTCATTTAACTTCAGTAATGGGATGGTATGGCTGCAAATAGCTTTCAAAGGCATGACACAACATTTTGGAAAGGTACTTTCAGATTTTGAATGACTGGGGGTTTGGGTTAAGAAGGTTTGAGCCATTTTTTCCTCCTAATATCTTTTATCTTCCTTATACTGAGCAGTCATATCCTTGGAGAATAAAAAATGTCTAGATATCCAATACTGACATCTTGGATGTCACAACACCAATAAAATCAGGAGAGAGTTCAGTAACAAAGATCATTGTTAAAAATTCCATACCAGTGCCCTTTCTAAGGCAACTTCTGAGAGGATGCTTCTTTCAGCGCAGTCCTGCAGAGAAGCATGGTACTTACATGTTATAGCGTAGGGCAACTTTTAAAACGATGGTATGTCTCACTAGGTGAAGACTAAGAAGAAAATCTAGTGCAAAACCTTAATAATTACTGTAGAACCCTGAAATATTCCCCTTCTAGCTTTTAGTAAAAAAAAAAAGTTTATGTAAAAGGTTGTCTATTAGTAATTTTCTACCACTTTATCCTATTTTGACCTGATTACTGTCTGACAGTACTTTATAGAGACAGAGTAGCAATCACAGTGCCACATATGATTACCGATGTCTCTTATTCTCCCTTTCTTAATTGTCTTGCGCACATTTTCCCTCTTTTAGTCCTCTACAGAAATGAGAAACTATTCCTGGGATACTGCAAAGGAATGTGTCATTCTTCCGCTTCATGACTTGAGGCTTCGGTGCTCAGACTTAGAATGAAAATGGACGGTATTGACTCCAGATAGCTGGGTCAGTCTGCCTGGTTCAGTGAAGGGTGTAAGAACAGTGTGTCTCTTGAGAATGGAAGGCAACTGAAAAAGTAGACCCTAGAAAAAACCCGATGCTTATCTGGAAAGTTTATATAAGCTACTAGTGCAAACACTGGGAAGTCAAAAGTTTGGACTTATGCATCTAGCACTGACCTATCATCAATCCCCCATTTTTGTTTTCTCTGTCTTGTTGACTTTGACTCCTTTTTTTACTACCTGTCACTTACGGGACCTGGTTGCACCCTCCCCGGTTACATATCTTAATGAATGCAATTGCATTAATACATTGCCATTCAAAAAATTGCAGCACAAAGAAAATAATGCAATGCACAATAGCATTTGGAACCCCTTAGATTAAGAAAGTCTTCTGTATATAAAAACACACATTCGGGCAGCTGACAGCCTGCCCCTCTCTTGGAAAGGGGACAGCTGAATGTACCAGCCATTCAAGCCATCATTTATAAAAAGCCCTCATTTATAGAAAGGAGAGGCAATCATCAATAGAATCTAACATATTCCAGACCAAGAGGCTGCAGGATTTACTTCGAATTATGCTATCTGCATATTGCTGCTCTGTTCATACTCTGCACTTCCAGACATGCTTAGAATTTGCCAACTTTGAAAGGAGAAATTAGTAATATACCAATAGGCAGGCAAGCTCTGGCAGCTGCTTGCATAGAGCCTGCCAGCAGGTCAGTAGGATATTGCCAGAGAAGCTGAATTCCAGATGAGAGGGTGGGAAAGGATTTTTTCCACAGCTCTGATTCTTCTGCACTAACTTCAAAGGAAAGCAAATTTTAACTGGCATATGGGTGAATGCGCTGGATTAATAGTAGTAAGGCAAACCTAAATGTCATCTGTCTAGAGAAGAATAACCCTCAAAATTACTAATGACAGTGGATACACTTTCTTGAGTCAGCAGCGTATTGCACTTTTCTCACTCAGGCAGATTATGACAACTGTTCCTCTGATATGGCCTGTGAGTGAATGAACATCATTTTAATGGACTACCTGTGGTGGACAGCCAGCACAGATTTGCACTTCCAAGCCCAGCAGGTAGTGAACTCTAAAGGAACATTTCACACTGGCCATTAAGCATCCAGCATGACCACAAAACTGAGGTGACACAAGGAGAGAGCAATTCCCTGGGAATATGGATCATATTTTGCAGCCAGCTGCAGATAAAATAACTAGCTTCTGCTGTAACCTGCTATTATCTGTGGGGTGCTAAAAAATCCTCTCCCTAGGATTTTAAGTTTCTCTCTGCATGACTGTAGTTAATGACTTGACTCCATGGGGTGTTCCTTGTTTAGTGACTGAATATCCCTATTGCTAACAAGTTGTGGGTTGTTTTTTGTACTTTTTTTTTTTTTTATTTAATGCATAGAATTATAGAACTACATAGAAATTTTTTTGGGGGGGTTAACTTTCTTCCAGTCATATGCAACTTTCTGAAGTTAATTACTGTAGTCCTATGAATCTGTGGCAGAAATTACCCATAATCCATTAACCAGTCAGAAATAAACAAAAGCAATTGTTTGATATCATCCTTAAACTAATGATTTCCCCTTGGGAAACCTATAGAATTTTGCTGTTTACTTTTAGCCAGTTAAACAGAAGAAAGTATGCATCTGAAAAGTTCGGTCAATGTAAAGCTTTAAAGTATTTGATCAAAGTTGGATGTCTAAGATGTCTGAACTGAAACATACATCTAATGTCTTTGTAGCAAATACAAATAAAAATTCAAATTTCTATATTTAATGGCCATTTGTGGTCTTAGTCCTGGATGTCTACAAGATACAAGTGGTGAAAATATCAGGTAAAATCAGACTTCATTTTTAAAACTAAAAGTAACTCATAATTCAAATAACTGATGATGAATCTTCATATTGAAGATCTATCAGCTATAAAATAGAGCACATAATGAAAAATGGCACATTCCATTTTCTTGTGTGATAGAGCAGCTTCTTGCTTTGAGTATTATCTTCACATGACTTTTAAGGTGAATTCAACTTTAATACTATATAACACATCTTGGACTGCAAAAGAGAAAGCCTCAGCTAAACAGGTTTGAGCAGCTCATCTCAAAACTTGTTGGATGGTGCTATTAAATATATTTTCTTTGTCAGACAAAGACATGTCTATGTTGTCAATCATTACTGCATATTGACTTCATTTCTTTCTCCAAAATATTTGTTGATAGAAGGTCTAGTTACTTTGTATTCTCTCCCTGCTTACAGTGGGAGATGATGCTTGTGATTGCTGAGAGGAATGATGTGTCATTCTCAAGGGGTGAATTATCTCAGAAACATGCTTTCTAACTCCTTCTATCACATCTTTCAGTAAAAAACAAAACAAAACAAAACAAACCCTTCAAAGAGCAGGGAAAACTGAAGTATATAAGCATGCAAAAAAAAATATCACTATGGACACAATTTATTTTTAAAAATGAATAAGTAGTTATGACTTAAATTAGACATCTCGATATGTTAAAAATCAACTGTTACAAAAATATATGTGCAAATATGTCTCTTTGTAAGGGTTCGGTCCCATTAGTGCTTAAGTCAATTTTGAGATTTTATTTAGTGACAGCATTCTGAAGGAGAGCTGCAACATGAAAGAGATGCAATATAAAGAGAAGGTGCAGATAGGCTAGGGCTGGCACTCAGGCTGGGCTGATTCTTTAGCTTTATGTCCTGCTCAGATGGTTTTACGGCTAAAAGTCTTGCAGCTAAAGTGATATGATTGAAGTACACGAAGTTCAGTTTTCAGGCAAGCTACCCCTTTCCTGGACTCAAGAGGAGGGGCAACTAAAATCAACAGGAGCATTTCCACAGATTTCAGTGGGTATTTCACCATCTCTTCAATCTCTAAGCCTTATGTCCCCATCCCCTCATCCTGGATGCGCACTCTTTCTTCATTTACCCAGTGCATACATTGCCTGGGTAGGGGTTGTTTCTTATTAGGTGCTCGTACAGCAATTAACACAATGAGGATCTAAATTCTGCTTAGGACATTTGTATATATGCCCGTATGAAGGCAGTTGCTTTCCATGTGGCCAAAGAATCCTAACGTGCCATGAATTCATCAGCTCTGCACAGGTCTGCAAAAAGCCCTTCTAAATCAACAGAAAAACAACCTCTCCATGAACCTGCTTTTAAGAATTCTATGATAGATTGGACACGTGGCTTCTTGAACCTGCTTAAAATCTTACCAAAAAGAACAAGATATAAGACCCAGACTAAAATCTGTTATTTTAAAATCACCATATAAGAAACTAAAAATTTCTCAAGAACAGAAATCCCCACATTATTTTTGACACAGAAATCTTGAAAGTGAAAGGATTCTGAAAAGGTTTCCTGTCCCCACAAGTTCATCCAGAGAAGATGCTGCTACTTTTTCACATTCAGCTCTCACCTGTTTATTCTTAACTCAGACAACACACCTTTGGGGTTTGGTGCTGCATTACATTCCTGCGAGTCCACTGACTCATTAAAGTTTAGGTGAAATTAGGTTCACAAGCTAAACTGTTTCCACTGCCTAAATTTCTGAATACTTCATAAAGAGTTGAAAGTGAATTACGAAATACGTGCTGAGATTGCCCTGAAGAGAAGCAGCTACATTACCCCACAGTGGTTTCTGTTGATGTACTCTGCAGATCCATAAATGCTCCTTTTGCAGGCACTTGTTCAGGAGCGGGCAGATCTGGTCAGCCAGCCACTAGCCTGCCTTGCCAGGCACAGGTGTAAATGCACCCCAAGGAAGACAGAGCACAGAGCCTTCCGTAAGCAGTTTCCACAGCATCTTTACCTACTTGGTTTATTTCTTGTATGCAAACCTGTGCATGCGCTTACTATTTTTTTGAACATAATTTGTCCATATTTCTTTTTCAGTTGACATATTTTCATTTCCATTTGTTCATTTCTGGAACTGTTGTATTTTCAGTTGATTTCATAGGCGGACTTGACACATACTCCTACCGACAGCCCCCCCAGGAACATGTTGAGTTAAAGCCTGTAAAGCCTGTAGGTAAGGTTCTGGTCCTACGGACCACATTAATCCTTCTAACTGGACTGAAAGCTAACCTTCTCCTGAAATAATTTTGGCATCAGGTTACTAATAATTTAATTATATTTTAATTAGAACTTAATTAAAAATTAATTCACATAAAACATGCGAGTAAGGACACTCTGTCATTGATGAAATACCCGCTAAAGCAAGGATTAGTAGATATCACCATGTCTGCCATGTCGTGCCTCGGCTTAACGCAAGGAGAGGCTCTCAGTGAAGGATGGAATTGCTTTTCTGCTGACTTTTTAGCAAAAAAAAGAGCTGGTTTATGGCTGCTGGTGCTGCATAAACCTTAATGAGATTAACCCATTTATGGAAATGCAGAAGCTTTTACATTTGTCTTACTACTGAAAGAAATATGTTTGCTGAAAAACTGCTAGTCAGCTTAAAATCTATCTGTAGAGTTTCACTGGAAGTTCATTAACTCTTTGTCACCGCTTATTTGCTCCCACCATGAAAATCATGTTTTCATAGGCTCTTCCTACTTTGCTACCTAATGTGTAAGTTTGGATGCATATCTATTCTTATTATCCGGAATAAATTCAGATATGGGAAGACATTACTAGTACATATATTTTGGCATAAGTTCAGATAACTTCAAATAGATGGTATTTCAAAGTATTATTGGTAAAACAGAAGATGTTCATTTGGAAATTCTTCTTAGATGCTTGTAAATTGTGGCCTGGATGCTTTCAGTCTTTAAATGTAACTTTGGGTCTTTCATGAATCTTAAATGCAACATGAAACCCATGTGCAGTTAATTGTCTGAAACTGATTTAATGACTTAACTGTATTTTACTTACTAGTTAACAGAATTAACATGGGTTTGAAGGTTTTTCCAGGTGTATGCATGTATGTATGTGCTGGGAGTTTTAAATTAAAGTGGACAATGGCTAAGCAAATGTTTTGAGTCGGCAGTTGACACATGAACTTTGCTTGTGACTTTATTAATTTTTGCATGGTTTAAAATATGTGTTATTAATGCTGAATTTCAATTTGTAGAAATAAACATAAACAAAATTTACTCAAATTTAGTGAGTTGTAGGATTGTAGGATTTCAAAGGCCCAAAAAGTAGAAAAGCCCTTTCTCAGTATGACAGTGTATATTAGAACAGGAAGGAATAGCACATTAAGACAACAAAATGAAACAATGAACAGTTTGATATGGCATTAAGTACACCCTCTACGCTGGAATCTGCATTTTCAGTAATATTTCATTAAATGACGATTTTGTTGCATTTTCTGTGGGAAAGATGACAGCAAAATGGGGTTTTGACCATTCTGAATAAGCTGATAGACTGAAAAAGTGAAATTGGTATCCAGGAGGAAGAAGGCCACAGCTACAACATTTACACTTATCCATAAAAGATTTTAATCCCTAAACCTGCATTCAAGTTAATGTTTAAAATATTAGGTGAATAAATGCTTAGTACTTTCTTAGCAAACTATCTGATTACAGGAGAGGAAAAAAAGATATTTTCATAAAAGACTTATAAATATGTTCCTGCAAAATACGTTCATTTGTTTTACAGTAGAAAAGTCACAGAATCTGAGAACTTGTTCTTTGATAGAAGATTTTGGTTAAGTAGCTGAAAGGATTTGGGGGTTGCTGGTGAGCTTGCAATACTGGAGAATAGATGGCATCTTCCCATTTCCTATGTATGGGTGTTCTTGTACGGCTGGGAGGACCCTCTCTGGCCTCTTTATTGCTGCTAGAAGTATAAAACTGGAAGACAAATTATACTGTGTTTTCTTCTTTATTGATGTTTTGGTTTTACGCTCTGAAAGATACAGCGAGGTTGTTTACCTAAGCAGGAGGAAAAATGCTATCAACGATCAAAGTCTGAATTAAAAGCCAAATTGCTGGAAAAAATTTGAATGGTCACTGGATTGTGCCAGAAATTTGCAGATGCTCATCTCTCTGCAGCACATCAGCCTTCTTTACTTTTTGTTGGATACATTAATCCCTATCTGTATCAGCTATATATAGTCTGAGAAGCCATAGTATCTCTAAGAAATGTGACTGCTGGTATCCGGGCTGTGAAAAACTCCATTTCTGTTCTCTTAGAATTGAACATGAATAATGCTTGTTAAATACATAAAAAGTCTTAATAAAGGTTACAGATCTTTTTCCATCCTTACCACTTTACTCATGGGAAAAATTAGCATGATGCTTTTTACAGATGAAAGCTTGTCTATATTTCGCTTTTTTCTCACCACTTTTATTTCCCTTATTTCATTCATAAATTAATTAAACATAGCCCATTGGAAAGACAAGGCTCTGTGGCCTCATCCAAACTCTGTAGAAGGCAGTCTGCTTTTAACAAGTACTCATATTCAGTATAAAGTCTACTTGGTGCTGCCATAATTATTAATCATCATCAAGTCTAAGATTAGTTTTCCTTTTCACCCCTGAGAAGAGGTTAAATTCAAACTTGTTCTCATGGAGAACATTTTTTAATACAAATATGAATAATCATAGCTTGTCTGTTTGCTCTTTGTTCTGCCTATAACTCCATTAGGCTACTGGGCAAGGAGAAGCAGGATCTTTGCCCTGAACCATGCAGTTTCAGCCAAGATGTGTTAAGGCAGGAGACAATAGGGAAGTGAAAAAAAAATTGTCCTGTTCTCTTTAGGACCAAAGCACATGGACTATAAAGAAGACTGTTGTATTTTCATCTGTTTCAAGCACAATATCAGCATCCAGGTCACTCAGTAGTATCTAGAATTGCTTCATGTACTGCTACATGGAAAAGAGAGGATCATAGGGTTTAGAAGAAAAAGAAAAGTTGTATTTTGGCTTGCATTAGGGTTTTATATCATTATTATTAAAAGTTTGCAGAAGTTAAAGTTTACATGTGCCTTATTCCTGTTTGGATGAGTACATCTGATCCAGTGCTACCACAGCTTTGGGCAACCCTATCTGGACAGACACTGAATCACTAGTTCCAATTAGGGATGTCTCTAACATTTCTAGGGACATTGCTAACTTCTGGGACTGATTCAGCATCTGAGAAATTCTACCAGTGGAGAGGTCACTGCTCTGTGATGCGTCTGTGTGGTCCTATACTGTTTGTATCTTCTCCTGAGACCCTACCCACTGTAAAATTGCTACAAAAGACCATCATAGATTTTCCAAGATTACACAAGTGAACATGGTTTACAAGGCGTCATGTGGTTGTGGTGAGGACTATAAATAGAGTGAGTCCAGCTCAAATACACATTTGTAATCACATCATGTCAGAATTTTATAACCTGGTGAAAATAAGTCTTACACTGTTTAAATACAATATGCTAAAAATAATCTATTATCGGATGAGCTTCAGACATCTTTCACCACCTGCAGGGTTTTTCCCCAAATGTTTTTTACCGTTGTGGTGTGCATGATACAAAGCTACTGCTTTGTACCCAGCTTTTCATTCTTGATCTTATATGTGGGTCTTACATCTGAGGAAATTAGTGACCAGAGGTGTTTTATCCACTTGTTCATTAGTTGCTAACCTGTCAGTTGATGTGAACATACATCTTACAAATTAGAAGATAAACAGAATAGGTTTTCACTGTAAGTAATTTATATATTCTGCTTTTTAGGTCGAAGTAAGTGATGAACGTGGACTCAAGACTTCTGCTGCTGTAGCTGAAGAAACAGATTTTAGAAGAAAAGACCAACCTTGTGACTCATTGTTCTGGAAGAAACCCACCATCCGTTTCTCACGGCATGTGGATTGTTCTTCCCACAGGCTCAGTGTCATTATCAGCATTGTTATTTCGTAGATCCTTGTAGATTATCTTGAATTTTTGAATAATTTACTTATATGGACACTTGTAAATTGTAAATTTTTTCTTTTTTAATTTCAATATTTTTACAACATGTAGTGTTAAGGCATGAAAACAAAAAACCTGTGAAAACTAGAAGGGTACATCTTTCACAAAAGTCAGTATTTTTTGACTGATAGAATCATACTGTGCCTGGTCAAGATTGTGTCAGTAAACAGTAATTTTGACTCCAAAATATACAGCAGGAGTCAAACCCTAACAGTGTACAAGAGATCATTTCAGTGCTGTATTTAGAATTCACAATGTCCACTCCTTGCATTGTTTGAACTTCTGTGTGCAGTAGGAATTGATCTATGACTCTTCTTACCCTGACATTCCAGCACTAATGTACTCATCTAATTATTGCAATTTGTATATGGCTCCTTCTTTCCCAGTCTCTTTTGCCCTGAGCCCACCACCACTAGCTGTCTCTGATTTCAAGAGAAGTAGGACAGCCGCTCTGTGGATATCAGTCTCTAGGAACCCTTACACTTTAGGGCTCTTTAGATGTCTGTGATTTGCACATTTTTAAACTCTTTTCCTCCCTTCTCCCAGGAAGAAGCCAAGCATGAATGTACAGTACAAGGCAGTTGAAGCCTTAGAAGCTTCTGGGGACTAATTTTGCTCTTAATTTAAACATAAACAAGCAAATCTGAAAATGTGTGTAAAAATTTGTAAAATTATTTGTAAATACTTCTAGACAAAGAACATGTATGTAACTGTGGTATTTTGTTTTCTATTCTGTCACCACTAGCATAAAGTGATACACAAAGCTGTTTTCTCTGGGGAACTGGTAGTCTTTAACAGAACACTTTGTTTTTCTTCTTAATTACTATTTAAAGTGCTGTGCACAGTTGTATGCCCCAGAGAGTTACATCTCTCCACAGAGACTATGTGACTCAGAATTCAGCAGAAAATTCATTAGGGGTTTGAGGCTGTTTCTGGTTTTGCACTTTCTCATTTTATGTTTTTTTGATGGGACCATCAGGAAGGACATTCATTCTGATACATGTATCCCTACATTTCTACCAGAAGCTGAACAAAGGTCCACTAGGTTCCTTCATAAATATGCTAAACAGTCTTCAGCTGGTAATCTTTAGTCCAAGTACATCTAGATCCTAAATTTGCAGTCTTCTCTTGAATCGTGTATTTTCAAGTCTGAGCACATGAGAGCTAAAGAAGGTTTGTCTTGATTCTTTCCCTTCTAAAGTCCATTTGTGTTATTTATCAATATGAACTTGATGGAGATGCTAATAAATACAATGGAGGTAGAGTCTATCATTCTTAGGTGATGAGGCTCTTGTGGCGCATCCACCTGTTTCCCAGCTAGTTAAATCAAAGCCCTCACTGTCTTTGGAAAAAACACAACCTGAACATAGGTTAACCTTCCCTGAAACCAAGTATGAAGTAAGTCTTAAGACAAAGTCAACAGAAATGACAAATGAAAAAAACCCTTTCTTAGTATTCTGAGGACTGGATATATCTCAAATGGTATGTCTTTGTATGTGAAGTCAGACTGTGCCAAAAAGAGGGATGCTTTGTATGAAAATGCCATTTACCTGCCTGCATTTACATATTCCCTCATACGCTCTTTTCCCTTATATTCTAGAATACTACAAAGTACCAGGTTTGCTCTAACTTGAAAACCTCATCGTAGCACTAAAAAGCAGGTAGGTTGTCACAAAACTAATATGAATAATATAATTTTTGAGGCATTATAAAGAAGATACCATGTGACTTGCTCTATAGCTGTAATATTTTAATAAGGTGAACACATTTTTATCTATTTCTGTAATAATTTACTTCTGCTTATCACAACAGATTATTTAATTTCTTTACATGATGCCTTAAACAGTGATGATGTCTACCTAGCCAGTGCATGCAGCCTTCTGTGTTTGTGATGGCTCCAGAACTTCAGAGGTGGAGGTATCTGACCACCGTTCAGTGTCCAGAAGCTGCCTTGCTTCAACTTTCTCAAGTAGAGAGAGAGCCCAGGACATGAGCATCTAGCACAGTGATTCATTTCAGCATTAATTGCCCTGCACTACATCCCCGTTGGTTGTGCAGATTCACACTCTGTTCTGGCAGAGCTTTGCAATCGTGTGTTTAATTTTCTACCAAGACAGACATATCTGCTGGACCATGTTTGACAAATTTGTCTGAATGTGTCTAAACCCTGCCTTTCTGTGGGTCCTTCAGGTTTTTGGCTTGCTCATGAAGAGCTGTGTACACACCACAAAAATTCTAAAGACAGAACCTGACTTCTCTTTCATCTGAAATATCGATGAGTTTTTAGCTGGGGAACACACCAGTATATTCCAAATACACTTAAAATGTCGGAATCATTACCAATACAGTGAGTCTACCATCTGTCTCACTTAATGAACAGAATGATCCTGATTGAGTGGAATTTGTCTTCATTAGAACAAGCCAAAATGCATAGTGTGATGCTGAGGGAAACCGTCACTCTTTTCTAAATTGAGACACAAAAGATAGTACCAATCAATCTGTACATGTTGGGGAAAAAATTCTTGAGAATAATGAATGGATTTGAATGCTAATTGCTGTGTCCTCCAATACAGTAGAACACTTTGGCTAACATTTTTGTAGGAAGCCTTAAGCAATAATTCCTTTATTTTTGCAACACATACATTCAGTAAGGTGATAGCAGAGTCCCAGATCAGTCAGCTACATAGGAAATAAGTGTTGACTTTCTAAATAAACTTGGATAGTTTTCTTAAGCGTAACTGTAACATGCAATTTCAGGAAATGACTAGGTTTGTACTGCAAAGCAGAATTTGCTGACAATCTTAAAACCTCAGAGCAGATTATCAGTTGGTATAAAGTGTTCTGGTAGCATTAATAAGTCATACTGTTATAACTTAGAACAGCTGAAGATCTGTCTTTCAAACTTTTAGACTTTTTTTTCCTTTCCCAAGTTTCTTCTTAATTCAGATTTTACAGAGAATCAGATTTGGAATGGTACTTTAATTGACAGCAAAACTGGAGATGTGACTGCAGATATATGGCACTACATATTCACTAAGGACTGAGCCAGGTACCATCAGTTTCATAAAAGAGAGGCTAATGTCTTCAGGACCTGAAAACAGGAACTGTATCGAGAAATTAATGGATTTTTTGCCTGGTACAGTGACATAGAGTGATTATATATCACAATTTCTGGTATTGCTGGAGGAATTAATGGTTGGGCTGATGTCTCTGGCTCTTTCCTATCCATAAAGTTTTTTTACACAAAAATTAGAAAGCAAAATTTTTTGAAGTTCAATTATGATCTGAAGGAACTCTCTAAAATTAAACAGGTCATAGCCTGGATTTGCTGAAAGTTTTTTTTAGTGCTAAGATATGATATTAACTACTATAAATAATTTTCAATAGAGCTCTACCAATTAAAACCATAGGAATTATGCTTGGTTGTATTTAACACCTGCTTTCTTTCAGTATAGCAGAAGATGGTATTTACTATATGTCAATAAGGATATTAAGAGTTTGAATCTAGGGGTATGGTTGCTGGTTAGCATGCGACAAGACTAACTTTTCTTGTTTAAAACCTGAAAACACATAATTGGGCTACTCAAAAGCCTGTAATCCTGTCCCAAAAATGGCAGATTTTAGCCCAGACAGCTGGTGGCTTGTCTCTTTCAAACAGCTTTGAGTTCAGGCTTTCTTTGTTCACAGCTGTGTGCAGGGCTCTTCTCCATATTTGGATCTCACCTCTCCATCCAGTTGTCCACAACTCAGGCGTTGCAACACCTTTGTCACCTCCAAGCACCACACTGGCATGAGCGGTCTTTTTTCAATGGCATTTTCAATGTGCTTCTCTGAACCCGGCTGCCTGTCTTTCACATGGGGATTATCTGGTTGAAAAAGCCAACCCAGCAATCTATCAAGTTCCTTTAACAGACTTTGACAGTGGCAAACAAAAATTGACGTCCCAAACTAATTGGCTTGTCTCCTTCCAGTATCAGTCTTAACTAGTTAATTATAACAAATTACAACCTGAGAGCTCCTTTATACACTGAAGTTTATTTTCAAGTAGGGAAAATGCTCCTTCCATGTAAGCTCCATTGGCAGGACATTTTTCACTTATGAATTCAGCTCTTACCTGCTATGCTTTTTGATAGAAACCTGTTCTTTAGTGCCCGACACAGTGATGGGGCTGTGATGGTGCCTGCCAGAATAGTGCTTTTACAGCAGGGTGGCCGGGTTGCACCCTCATGTCAGAGATGTGATGGGTTGGGGCTGCATAAGCTGGAGGCTGCCCTCATCACTGCAGCCTTAAAGAGGTGCTATGTCTCTCATCTCTGTCCAGGGAGCTGACTATCCCTGCAACCACAACTGGGCATCAGGCTGAAAGATTAATTTACAGAGGGTTAATGAGCAAACTAATATATGCGTTATGAACAATCAGGGAATTCAGATCTCTGAAAATGGGCACATAAAGAAGATATTTCATATCAAGATTACTGCTGCAGGGTTTGTCCCTTAGAGCTATGCCTGCATTGCATGCTGGTGGTGTGCTCAAAGCATGCCAGAGCAGCCCTAATCACCCAAGAGTACCACCCGCACTCTGCTGCACTGTAAGGGGTCACTAGGCTCTTCAGGACCCTAAATAATTATTTAGCAGGTAAGGACACAGATCTAGCCTGTACTGCTTGCTATCTGACAACTACATATAACGTGCCATTTTCTCAGGGTTGATAGGGAACTGCTGATATATGATGGTTTCTTGCCATAATTTTCATTTCCTTCATACAAGTCATAGTTTGGATGTTTCTCTTTGATTTTAAACAAATTAGACATCTGGATTTGGTTCCTGCCTCCACATGAGTACCTGCTGGTCAGTCACGGTCCTGGATGTGTCAGCTTTGTGGAATTAACTGTCCTTGCATGGTCTGTTGTGTCTCAAAACCAGCAATGGACTCTGAAGACAGTCTTACTAAACAGCAGCTGTGCATAAATAATACCAGGAAGACAAAAAGATTCTCCTTGTTTTGCTTATCTCCCTAGAATCCAATATAACTTCTTTGAGCTTTTTGTCCCAGTTTCCTATGTATTTCACACCAGCCATATGAAACCATCCTTTCAAAACTCTCCTGTAAGTCAGTGCCAGTCACTCACTGAAGTACACTGCATACCTGCCCAATTAGTAGAGTATCATATGCAAGGAAGGGTTACAGCATTTCCCAGCACATGACAGATTTAGAATGAGAGCTGTGTTACACATGAGCAAGCAATTGGCACATACTATTCCATAAAATGTCACTAGGGTGTACTTACCCTGCTTGATCTGTGTAGCCAGAACCAGAGTAGCAAGCAGGTAGAGTCCCAAGCGCTGAAGCAAATGCAAGCCAACACCTTGTTTAATCAGCCTTGGTCTGCTGCTATTAATCCACACTGCAACATGTTGTTTTTCTTAACAAATAAAGCTGCCTCTCTTATAGGTTGCAGCCAGATTCTCAGGTGTGTGATTACAAGTAACCATCTATGCCACTCTTCAATCAGTCATGGTTTGGTTTCTAAAGGCCTTATAATTCAAGTAAGTCTGTTTTATGTGAAGTTGAGAGGAGGCTGTATCTAGGCTGCTGGGAAACAGCCCTGGGAGACCTCATTAGGAACATCCCCTGCTCTGCTCAGGAGCTGCATTCAACTGCATTTAAACCCAGGCCTTGGGCTGTGATGCTTACCTCGGCTGTGATGCTTACCTCACCTGTGATGCTCACCTGATGCTCACCTGCCTGGCCAGGGACCTCCCT